AAAAAAAAAAAAAAAAAAAAAAAAAAAAAAAAAAAAAAAAAAAACGAACTGTGGCTTTTGTCTACAGTTTAGAAATAAAAATAATTTGAAAGAGAAAACTCTTTAGTCCTTCCACTTTTGTTGGTGTTCTGAGTATATGAAATACATTTGAGGACTTCCCTTAAACAATTAGTCACAGCAACAAAAAATTAAGCAACCTAAAATTAATGGAGTTGATTCTTGTTCTTTACTACTATGAGTATCATCTAAAGTCTGAGCTTTAGCTATGATATACTCTAAAAACTAAATTAAAAGGTAGAATTTAAAGATATGTGGAAGGGTGGTAACTGGATCCCAGTTTTGAAAGAACTAGTCATTGTCATTAAATGATAATGGATCATGGATGTTATCTAATATAAACCTCTCATTTTACAAATGAAAAAAATGAGGTGCTGACAGGCAAGTGGCTTGTAATTAGTGGGTGGCAGATTTGAACCTAAATCATTATCTGATTCCTTATAATGTGAAACGTAATTTTTTGTATGCTATAGGAAAAGAACTATTATATAAATCAATCAATTCCCTCACATATGCTCTCTCTCTTTCAACATTTATAAGCTAAATGGAAATAGAATCTTCATCCTAATAGACATACCAGAAATAATAAAAATGAAGAAAATAGAGAAATGTAATCCTCCTTTGTCAAACTGCTGAATATATATGGAATTTCAGGTTTCTAAAGATGTGTAATTGTAAGCATAAAAATGTCATCCAAAAATATAGATTCTTTTTAGTCAATTGAAAAAAAAAAAAAACTATTCAATGTAAATACTTAGACACTGTAAGGGTACTGCTAAATTACCCTCCAAAAAAACTATTAGCAATTTGCTCTCCTATCAATTAGTGAGAGTTTTCCTTACAATCTCACAAATTACTGGATATTAAAACAGTTTAGAATTTTTCCCTTGTGGTGGGCCTCCCAAAAAAGGTTTATCATTCTAATTTGTGTTTCTCTGATTACTAAATTTTAGCATCTAAAGTATTTTGGCCACTGGCATTTCTTTATCTGTGAATTACTTGTGCATATACATGGCCTATTTTTCTGTTAGGGTCTATGTCTTTTTCTTACTGATTGGCTAACGCTACTTATTCTGTTATACATGGTACAAATATTTTCTTCTAATCATCACTTTTTTTATTGGTTTATGGTTTCTTTTGCCACAAACATTTTAATTTTACTATAGTCAATTGCGTCAGTCTTTTCCTAAGATCTTTGCATTATATGCTATGAAGTTAGTACTTGTATCACTTAGTGTCCTATCAGGAAAGCGAAATCACACAGTAACTAGTATAGGAAAGGTTTATTATTAACCATATCAGGGATCAGAGTAACAGAGTATAGGCTAATAAGAATTAAGAGATCACTAAAGAATATAGGAATAGCAGCTGTCAACCCCTAAGGCTGTTATATAGAGCACCCCGCTTCCACTTCTCCTCTACCCAATCCTGCCTGCAGAGCTGAGATCCAGACCTCGTTAGAACCTTGGTTCACTGAATGGTAGAGAAGTCACTGTGGTGCTGTGCCTGCCGAATTTGCTGGAAATCCACCCTCCAAATAGCAGAAAATCCACCCTCTAGGATGCAAGGGGAGGTATCTTGCCCAAGAGAGTCTAATGTGAAACCGACCCAGGGGTATGCTGGGGGAAGCTGCTGGCCTCTAGATGCCAGCCGCCTGCACTGCTGGAGAAGCCACCCGGGCTGTCAGAACCTGGTGCCGAAGAAACCAGTGAATGCTGAAGGATCCGGATGGGAGGAGCCCCAGAAACCGGAAAGAAAAGCACCTTCCGCTTGTATTACCTCTTCAGCGCCCTCTACTGACAAAGTTTAACATGGTGCTAGCTGGCAAAGGAGGAATGTATAAGAAGCCAAGCTCGATTTTCTCCTAAGCAACGATGAAAGAGGAATTGGAGCTGAGGGGCAGTAAACTGATACCTGGCACAGCGCTTTACTATACCTGACTTTATTTTTGTACATGATTTGAGACAACCTTAAACAGTATTTTTTTGTAAAGATAAAGTAAAATTGGAAACAATGTAAAGGTTCATCAATAATTATTGAATAAACTATGGTACTTCCATACTATAGATTACTATGCAGCAATAATGAGATGCATATCTAGATAAATGAACTAATATTATAAGTTCTCTAAATCGTATTGTTTAGTGAAAGTTAACATAAAATTTTAAACTATAAAATATTACTATATATTATAATATGTACATACACATGCACACACGCACATGCATACATGCAACGTGTTCAGACGTAGGAGTCCTAAGATTACTTTATGAGAATCTTTATAATTAACATCCATTTGCAAACCAATACTTAGTATGCTAAAGCAGCTCATATATCTCAACTGTGTTAGAAATGTCTTCATGCAATTTTTTTGCTCTGTTCTAGTTAACTTCCTATTTATAGATGCCAAAGAAATAAAGCCTATCTCAGGTCAAATGACTCAAATTTCAAATTGGTAAAATTCTTGGTATTTGTAACTTCACATAATAAAAATGTGTGTGTGTGTGTGTGTGTGTGTGTGTGTGTGTGTGTGTGTGTGTGTGTGTGATGTTTGTTTTTCTTTTAGGCTGAGGCTGAAAAGATAATTGCAGTTGCCTGGGACATTTTTCAGCCCCTTCTTTTTGGACTGATTGGAGCAGAGGTATCTATTGCATCTCTCAGACCAGAAACTGTTGGTAAGAATTTCAAAGTGGTACTCTTGCTGATATCAACTCTTTTTATATCCAGTTGAACTATCTTCAGTAGGTATGTGTTCAGTGGTTCCCATTGTCACAATTATATAAAAAGTTAATTATGATCTAAATTTTTTAGAGTAGTTGGTTAGAAAATAATGTCTGTCCATCTAAGACAGTAAACTTTATACCTTTAATATTGATTGAAATAGAAAAGTGACACTACTGACCACCATCCAAAAAATTCAGGCCTTGGGCCGACCCCATGGCTCACTCGGGAGAGTGCAGTGCAGCAGTGCTGCCACCGCGGGTTCGGATCCTATATAGGGATGGCTGGTGCACTCACTGGCTGAGCACGGTGCAGATGACACCAAGCCAAGGGTTGCAATCCCTTACCGGTCACGAAAAAAAAAAAAATTCAGGCCTTAAAATTTTTTTCCAAGGACAAGAATGTTCATCTAGCCTTGTTCTGATCAAGGGCCAGAATTTTAAAGATAACTAGTTAGTTCTTTGTTATGTACCCATGGAATAGAAATGTTTGTTCTTTCATTCTTTTATTCATTCACATATTTAAAAGTCGTTATATTAAAACTCTTGATTTATAGCACTGCACTTAAAAATTAATTTGCATACATATACTCATTATTTCCTCCTTTCCTCCTATCACTATATTCTTCCATCTGTACTAGGAATCTCATCCCCTGCTACCACCTTCTAAATTCACATATAGATTCCTCTCCTTTTCTCATACATCTTCATATATTCTAGTCATAGTTTTTTCCTCTTCAGAATTTAAAGTCTTTAATCTCTCTTAAAAAAAAAAAAAGCCTTCCATTCTGACACATGCTACAACATGGATGAGCTTTGAGGATGTTATGCTAAGTGAAATAAGCTAGTCACAAAAAGACTAATACATTATGATTCCAGGTAATGGGTAGATGTTGTTCAATGAATACAGAGTTTAATTTTTGCAAGATGAAAAAGTTCTGGAAATTGGTTGCATAATAGTGTGAATGTACTTAATGCTACTGAACTGTCCACTTAAAAATGATTTAGATGGCAAATGTTATGTGTATTTTAACTACAATTAAAAATAATATATAGTAAAATTAATATTAAAAATAATATATGTACATAATACGTATTATATACATTATATATATATCTCCTATCCCTTCTCCATTTCACTTCCCTAACACCTATTATGCCAACTCTCTCTTCCTCTTTTCAAATTTTTCAAAAGAATTGACTACATTCTCCTTTTACACTTCAGCTCCCATTACCTTCCTTAATACATTTTAGTCCAGTTTGTGCCTGATCACATAAACAACCATGCTGTCACCCAGGTTACATTGCTAAATCCAGTCTTTGTATTACTTGATCTCTCCACAGCGTTTGGTGCTATTGACTTTTTAAAATCACCCTTTTACATTGAGTTCTGAAACTTCATATTTTCCAAAGCCCTTTGAGTCCTTCTTTAAACCATATGAAGATTAAATGCCGCTCTTCATCAAACTTCTTTCCAAGGCCTTCTATGCTTCTCACTCTATATCACTTCTCTGACTTTGTCTGCACCAGTTATGTCAATTATAAACTATATAGTTCGAAAATCTTTATCACTAAGTCAGTATATCCACTCGCTGATTGGATATCACCTCTTGTATGTCCTAAAAAACTTCAGATTCAGTATGTTTAAAACTTCCTCATCATACTCTCCCCAAACCTTCAGTGTTTCCTTCTGAGAATGGTATCAACTCTTTGTATCTTGTACTTCAGGTAGCAGATACTTTTGAATATCTACCAACCTGGGAGAAATACCCTTCCACAAAGAGCCACAAACCTTTTCCATATAGAAAAAATGTTGCAGATTCACAACAGAACCTCCTGTTAAGGTCTATCTGTTGTTTTACCAGCCCTTTGAACTTGAGAAAGTTATTTACCCCTTCTGAGCTTCAGTTTTTGCAACTGTAAGATGGGACTAATCAGCCCATAGCTTGTTAAGGATTAAGTAAAATAATGCACTTAATATTCAGTCATGGCATTCCTTGGCCTGCAGATGCAACACTCCAATTTCTGCTTCCATTCATGTGGCGTTTTCACTGTGTCTCTTCACATCATCACTTATGAGGATACTAGTCACATTGGCTTAGGAGCCCACCCTACTCCAGTCATTTTAACTTTACTAATTACATCTGAAATAAGCTTATTTTCAAAATAAGGTCACATTTGGGGCCGGCCCGGTGGCGCACTGCTACAGTGCGCCGCTTGGGAGCACGGTGGCGCTCCCACCGAGGGTTCGGATCCCACATACAGACCGGTTCCCGCTCACTGGCTGAGCGAGGTGTGGGCGCAGCACCGAGGGTTGCGATCCCGTTGCCAGTCCCGGTCCGGTACGGGTGGGACACTGAGGGTTGCGATCCGTTGCCGGACACGAAAAAAGACAAAACGGGAAAAAAAAAAAAAAAAAATTCAGTGTAGCACCCGGCACAGGGTAAACACTCAGCAAATGTTGCTTTCCAAAAATCACCCTAACATTCAAAAGTCACTTTGGCCCATGCCATTCTCAGGTCCAGTAGCTTGCAGCAGCCCTAGTCACAATCCCTTATTTTGCACACCAAGATGAACTTGTCTTTATTAGCAAAGGACTGAATGACATAGCTATGTGTGATGTTAATATACATCAATACATGTTGTAGATTGCCAGTGTCAATTCTAATTGGTCAGTGCCCAGCCAGCTCTGTCTGATTGGCTGATTCCCTCTGTACTAGCTGATAAATATTCTGAATATTACCTCTGGTCTTATACTCTGTAAGAATTCTCAACTATTTTGATGAAAATATTATTTTTTCCTTTTCCTATGCCATCTTATCAGTTTGTTTATACTTTTCACTTACCATATAGAATATGAATTAGTTGTTTATGTTTTTCTTCCTCTGACTTTGGGTTTATAGACAAAGTCTGTACATTATACATTTTTGTGTACCAAGTACCTAGTTTAAAGCTTATTATGCATTATATCATTTAATAAATTCTTGCTAAATAAACACATGGAAGAAAGTGTGGTTCTTCCTATGAAGCATAAGAGATGTAACATTCAGATCTCCTTTATAAGAATCCAAATACGTTTAATTAATTTCTGGTTTTAATCTAGGGGAAACACCTTATTTTAAACAAATGGTCTGATTGATCCTTAATATTAATTTTTTGATATATTATGCCTAACCATTTTTGTATTTTTAATTTTTAATATTTTACAATTATTTCTGTTGATAGTATTTTGAATTAGTAACCCTGAAATGATATTGCTCCCCTAGCATTTCATTATTTCTAAAAATTGAGTATTTCTTACAGGACTTTGTGTTGCCACCCTGGGCATTGCAGTATTGATACGAATTTTGACTACATTTCTGATGGTGTGTTTTGCTGGTTTTAACATGAAAGAGAAGATATTTATTTCTTTTGCATGGCTTCCAAAGGCCACAGTCCAGGTAATGATGGGTAGGATGGCGTAGTATATTAGCCACTATTTTTACATGATGCCTTGAAATGTTGAATGAGAGTTTATTTAATTTTGGTGAAAACGAATAAAGTTGGAATTATGAAAAGAGTTTATACTAATCTACTCTTTACAAGTTTTATTTTTGGTATATTGATTCCTTAAATGTGACAGCTCATTTAAATTTCTTTAGATCACCAAGGTACAACAAAAATCTAATAAATCCCTTCACCACAAGAAAGCAATAATAGCAGGAAGGAAGGGTTTGAATTTTTATCAGTCATAGTTCTCTAAATCACCCAAAGTGAGAGTTGTTAACTCTTCATTTCAATATCTTCCAGGAAGAGAGTGAAACAAGTAGCATGGCCCATCTTAATGTTTGAAAATACTTCAATGTCAACATGATTGATGACTAATTATGCTTAATCAAAGTCTTTATATACAATGTAGAAAAATAAAAAAGAAAATATATTGAAGGAATGAAAAAGAAGATATATTGAAAAACAACTCAGGGCTGGCCCATGGCTCACTCAGGAGAGCGTGGTGATGGTAACACCAAGGCCACGGGTTCGGATCCCATATAGGGATGGCCGGTTAGCTCACTGGGTGAGCGTGGTGCTGACAACACCAAGTCAAGGGTTAAGATCCCCTTACCGGTCATCTATAAAAAAAAAGAAAAGAAAAGAAAAACAACTCAGAAAATGCTTTATTGATTTCCTAGATTATTACTTGATATTAATTATGCAAAACTAACTGAACGTCCTCACAAATGTCTAACTTGCTTGACTCAAAATTTGTTCTCTCCAATGAACAAGTGATAAATAAAGCACTTATAGATAGGTGCTTGAAATTGTTGACAGTACAATTGGTAGAATACCTATAATTGCTAATTAAATTAGAAGTGTATAGATTATGATTTGTTGCAAATTTAATATATCCCTTATTGTATTGTATATTTTCTGAAAAATTATATGAAACAAGATTTTTAACTGTTCCATTCCTGATTATTTTGCAATTACTTAAATATGCAAATTTCTATTTTTGTGGAGTGAAAATCAGGTATTCTTAATTTAGGAGGCTTTGGGGGATGTGTATACTCTGTAATTATATTCCAGATTTTATGTGGTTGTGGGCTTGCACATTATTCCAGAAAAGATTTTTTTTCCATCAAATTTTCAGAGATGTCTGAGGCATAATAGCTAAGAATACTGTGAGAATAATGTACTAAAATAAATGGAATTATTTTTCCCTAAAAGTATCTCTACTTCCACACTACTTCTGGTAACTTCTGTAGGTAAATATCAAAATAATGACTCTAATAGTTTAGGTATGAAATATTTGTTTCTAAACATTAAAATTTGAAAGATGGCACTTTCCTACCATCAAAGCAAATTTTAAAATAAAGAGAAATTATCTAGGATGTGTTGGATAACGTATGTCCTGTGGAAGCAAGTATTATATAGAATTTTCTTTTTTCTTTTGGCACTGCACAAAAAACAAGACTTTCTTATGTGTATATTTTCTGTATTAGTGTTTTTTAAACTTTTTTGGTCCATGGCCTACTATAAGAAATATATTTTAAACCACAACCCCCAAATGTACATACATATACAATAGAGAACTGAAAGAGAAAGATACGTCATAATGTAATATGTGCAGTTCTTGTCAAGAATTCATTAAATGTCAAGTTTGTTATGGCACAGGGTAATCTGCAGTAGTAAAGAGCCTCCAAATACAGAGCCTAAATGAGATAGAGTTTTATTTCTCTCCCACCAATGGTCCAGGATGGGCATCCCAGCGCTGGTAGAGAGACCACCATACTCAGCATGTGCCTCCCATCCATGGGTTCAACTTTCACCATTTCTCATCCAGTGGGAAGGGAGAAAAGAACAAGATATGTATGCCTGTTCCTTTTCAGGGAACAATCTACACATAGCTTTTATTACTTCCACTCACTTCTCTTAGATACACAGCTACATGTAGTTGGCAAAAGAAGCTGGAAAAACAAAAGGTCTCTATTTGGAGAGACCAGCTAAAACTCAGGAGTTCTGTTATAGAAGGGAAAAAGGACAGTGAGATATTTGTGGGCAACTAGTAGTCTCTGCCATTGTGTGTGATGCACATTGATATTTTCTCTTCTGTTTCATTATCTAGAGACTAACATTGTTCTGCTCTGTGGAATAAGGAGATAACCAGATTGATCAATATATTTTTTCCCCATGTGCACTGATAATATTGCATTTTGTCTTAAAAGAAAATGAGAATTTATATTATACTTTCTAATACATACATTTTAAATAAAACATTTCACCAACTCCTGAGACAAAGAGTTAGCCAAATACCTAATAAGATTAACTTCAAGTTTTAAAGGTACCTACCACTTTTATGTTTCATGATGTCTGTATTAGTTTAGACTATAAAAGCAATACATATTTATTTAAAACTTCGCCATCTTCAGTAAGTATCACTGCATTGTTTCCATCTTGTTCTTTCTTAATTCCAAATCCCTGAAGATAAAAGAATAAGACAACCAGTAACTTTCATCTTTATTTAGAAGAAATTTAGTACATAGAACTTTGCATTATATTAAAGTAATATTTTGAGTCTATATTTACCTTGTGTTTTGAAATGTATTTGCCTAATATTTATGTAACCCTACCTTATGCAGATAGGTACATATGAATCATCAGTCTGTCCTCATGCAAGGGCAAGGAGATTTTAGATAATCAAAACCAACTACCGTACACTTTGAAAGAAGACGAATAGAACTTTTTTAATTGAGCAAAAGAACAAGAATTTGTTTTTGCAAATGATACAACAATTCACTTTTTTATATGTGCTTGTCTTATGTTTCCAATTTTACCCTTAAACTTTTATAGGCTGCAATAGGATCTGTGGCTTTGGACACAGCAAGAGCACATGAAGAGAAACAGTTAGAAGCATATGGAATGGATGTTTTAACAGTGGCATTTTTGGCCATCCTCATCACAGCCCCAATTGGAAGCCTACTTATTGGTCTGCTGGGCCCCAGGCTTCTCCAGAAAGTTCAACATCAAAATAAAGAGGAAGAAGTTCAAGGAGAGACTTCTATACAAGTTTAGAGGTGAAAAGAGAGAATGCTGAACATAATGATTAGAAAGCTCCTACAAGAGGCTACTTTTATCAAAATGGATATTTAAATATGTAATGTTTAAGCTGGAAACGTAGTAGAACCAAAAGCCTGGCTGTTTCTTTAAACAGCATTTTTAGCCCTTTCCCTTTCCATGTGGGTGGTGATGTTCCAAGCCTTGAATTGTTTCTCTTCCCTTTTTGTTTTTAAACATCATAATGTATTCCCTCAATTTCTACCTTACTTTGCCTGCTAATCTGCCTCTTCTCCATTTCTACCTCTTTTACTACCTTTCTGTGAATTATTGTAACTGATTGGTCCCACCAGAATTTTAAAGTACACCAAGTATCTTCATTGGTTCTTCCTTTTGCCCCATCTGGATGTCAAAAGACTTTATCCTATCCCCCAGCTGACCACCCGAGTCCTTCATTCCAGCAGCCCATCTGAGTCTTTCTTCCCCTAGAAAGTGTTCTGATCTAGCCCTTTCTTATTTGTTTCTTGTGACCCACATCTTCAGGCTCTTCCAGTTCGCTAGGTGAGAGATAGCTAATTTTCTGATATATGCTGGCTTCATAAATAGTATATTAATTAGGATAATATAAGCTGCTCTCATGAAGAAACAAAAGATACAGTGGTTGAAAGAAAATCGAATTTTATTTCCTTCTCCTGAAACTGGCTGTTTGGTTGATGCTGGCAGGGTTTCTCTCCTCATGAGGTCTGTTCAGATACCCATGTCCTTCTGTCATGAAGCTCTGCTGTGCCCTAACTTAGCACATGGGTTAAAGAGGATCTCTCCCATGTCTCCTTTCTAGCCCTCAGGAAGAAGGAAAAAAGAAAGTGCAAGTAATACATCTCTCCTCTTACATTCTCTTGGTGATGACCATTTCCAGCTGTGAGGAGGCTGAGCATTGTATCTAGCTAAGCATATGTATTCCTGGGTGGAATGAAAGATCACATCTGGGGGCCAGAACTACCATTGTGTTGGGTGTTACCATCACTTAGTAGCATATTCTTGCATGTTAACAAAGGTTTTTGGAAGACAGTATCTTAAACTAGAAGAGTGACTTCTACGGCAGGAATTTCATACATTGTGACATGCCAGCAGAGAAAATATATAAGAAAGGCTTATCTGAAAGTCTTATTTGCATAGGTCACATTTTATCCCACTTAGCAACAGTCCATCTCTGTTTTTGTGTCTCACCCATAAGTTCCTTTTCTCTCTAGGTCATTTCCTGCCTAGTTGCTAAAATAATCATGTTCAAATACAGTTTACAGCTTTTTATACACATATATATGTATACTTGAAGTGTTTATTACTTCTTGTCATATCTCGCCTAAATTCTTTAACCTAGAATTCAAAGTTCAATGTAATCTTGACGTATATGCTGAATATGTATTGAATGAATTGTGAATATTCTAATACCACCAAGCCAATCTGCATAAAACCTGTCCATTCCTCACTTCATTAGACTACTGGTCCAGCCCTTTCTACCATGGCTTTCACCTCTATTCAAAACTAGTTTAATATTCACCTCTTCTAACTAGGCTTCAATTTTATGTTAGCCTACTGTGGTTACTCTATGGTACTGTATTTCTTTAGTGTTTATGTTCTTAATTTGCACTGGATTAATTTAGATCAAAGAGCAGATGGGTATTTCAAACTGAACTTCATTGGTTAGGTAAAATTTGGTGGGGGTACCATAAATTTAATACTCCTCTGGTCCTCTACTTTTGCAGGTTCTGAAACTAGATACATTCAACAAACACTTATTGAAAGCCTTCTTGATCCAGGGACATCATCAAGACTAAACAAACGCTGTAAATACTTGTTCTTCAATGCCCTTTTTTTCCCCCTAGGGTCAGTGCTATACATCTCCTTTCTGAGAAGTATTTTTTTTTTCCAGGCTGACTGATTAGGTTTCAGCTCTTTAAGTTATTGTCACATACCAGTATTTTTCTCTTTGGTATTAATCCCAAATAACCTTGATTGAACTTGGATTTCCCAAGTCCTCTGAATTTCCTCAGTCATACATTTGCAAATGATCTCATATATTAAATTTTTTAAAAATAGTGTTGATTATCTTTTATGATTATGAAATAATACATTTTTATTGCACAAAATTTAGAACACAGAATACAAGGAAGAAGACTAAAATTATTCTTACTATAAACACCCATTTCATTTTCGTTCTTTTAAATTTTATTCCTGCACTTCTGGGGAATGCCTTATGTTCAGAAAGATATATCAGTTACTCAGTTAGGTGGGCAAAAGGCAACATAAGTACTTTACATTTGACTTTTGTGAAGATATTTCAATTGAAGAATTTTTGTTGTCTATAATGAATGCTAAGCCTTCAAGAACTATTTATTCATCTGGCAGTATTCAAATATTCATTTTGCTGCAATGAGTAAAACAGAGAAATCCAGCCTTCATGGAGTTTATGTTTTAAAATCCATTCATTCCCTCCCTCAAAGTACACTTATGACTTGCCTCCTATGTGCCAGGCATTGTGCTAAGTACTAGGGAATACAGTGATAAAAAAGATTCAAGGGGGGGCCGGCCCAGTGGCGCACTGGATAGTGCGCCGCTTAGGAGGCGCGGCAGCGCTGCCGCCCGAGGGTTCGGATCCCACATACAGACCGGCTCCCGCTCACTGGCTGAGCGAGGCGTGGGAGCAACACCGAGGTTTGCAATCCCGTTGCCGGTCCCTGGTCCGGTACGGGGGCAACACTGAGGGTTGCGATCCGTTGCCGGACACGGAACAAAAAGACAAAAAACAAAAAAAAAAAAAAAAAGTACACAGTTCAGTGGCCCTTAGGGTTCTGCATTCATCACTACCACAAGTTTTAAACATTTTTATTACTCTGAGAAGACATGTCACACCCTTTTGAT